ATGCTCAAAGGGTCAGAAGTGTGAGGCTGAGAGTGGGAAAGAAGCTGGAGAAGTGGCTCCAAAAAAGGCAGCTTTTCTCATCACACAGAGGGAGTTAATTTTCATTGTCTTGGGCAAGAGCTGGGAGTTTCCAGCCACCCCCAAGCACAGCACACGCTGCAGCCTGTAAAGATTTTGCTTTTTTTAATTGCTAGAGCAGCTCTTTGCTATGTAGTGCAGCAGCAAAGTCCTGCTGCTGCTGTCCAAGGTCCGTGTGCTTGGTGGGAGGAGCAGGAAAACACCCGGTGTGTGTTGGCTGCCCGGATCTGAGCCTGGAAATAGCCTGGGATTAGTGGTGAAAAAATGCTGGGAGAAGGGTGAAAAGATCCTTTAAGACTTCAAGACCTTGTCAGCATAAAGCCAGAATCTGCACAGTGGCAATAGAAATAAAATATGTAATTTGAATTAAGAGCAAATAGCATGGAGCGTGTGAAACAGTAAAAATGTATAAAAATAATAAATAAATAAATAAATAGTCTGCCTCCCTTGGAGGGGTGGATTGAGCACTGGGATGCTGAAACACAGCAGAGTTAGCACAGAAATCCTGGGAGCTTCTAGAGAAGCTGTGGTGGTGGGAACATCTCCTGCCTCTGACAGAGACCATCTCCAGGATGGGTTTTTTATGCCCACCCTGGTGATGTTTTTGTCCAGCATCCACAGGATGTGGAGCTCACCTGTATTTGTGTCATCCTCCCTCAGGCTGGCCCTGGTGGGAGTTTAGGCTGCAGAGAGATCTCCTGTCCCACCTCCTGGGACACCAAGCCACGATGCAGCTCCACCTTGGAGAATCCCAGAATGGTTTGTGTGGGAAGGGACCTTAAAATTTACCCAGTTTACACTTGCTTGTGAATGAGGGAGGTCCAGCTCTTCACACATTAAAGTATTTGTATAATAGCATTTTTTAACTCCTGCTATCTTCTGAAATTGTGTGTTCTACATGGAAGATTTTGTCATTAAAAAAAAAAAGTGAATTGCCAGAGCAGGGCTGTCTGCTTCCTTCCCTGGATGCCAGTACTGAGAAGGGCTGGAAAAATTTCTTGGAAGTGCTCAAGGCCAGGTTGGATGAGACTTGGAACAACTTGCTCTAATGGAAAGTGTCCCTGCCTGTGGCAGGGGATGATCTTTAAGGTCTCTCCAACTTAAATTGTTCTGTGATTCTATGAAATACCCATTTTTTACCTTAATATGATGATTTTAAAGCACTGACCTGCCTGCCTGTTCATCTGGTGGTGTTGGGGTTTTGCTTAAACTCCATCTCAGAGCAATGCACAAGACAGAGAAAAGGAATAGTCAGGCTATTGTACAGTGAATATGAAAAATTTCCAGATTAAAATGGCAATAAAGTAAGGAATAAAGTTCATTTCTTACCTGAGGACACAGGTGGAAAGTGTCTTGTGACTTCCTTTCAGTTTTATTGACACAAGACTCAAAACAGCAGGAGCTTTTTCACATGGCAGGTCAGAGATCTGTAAATCATCTTGCCAAAAAATTCTGGATGATAGATGGAGTGGGAAATTAGACAGATCATCCAAATCCTAAAATACTGAAGTTGGAAGGGCAGCCTGGAGGCTTCTGAATCTGTGCCATATTCAAAGCAAAATCAGGTTCAGAGGCAGGTCAGGTTCCGGGAGCTCAGGTTTGAATTTGGCCAAATCCCCCTCAGTTGCCACCATCAGCCTTCTACTTGCCAAGCTCAGCAGTGCTCATGATGTGGGGTTATCCAATCCCAGATGAAAGATTGGGCATTCCCTGTGGAAAACCACTGACCCCTGCACAGAAATCATGGATAAACAAAGAATTTCCTGAACCAAATATGGTTTGATGCCTTCAAAGGGTGGGAAGGCACATGATCCAGGCTGTCCTCGTCCTAATAATTTTCCTAAAGTGTCTCCTATTGTTGGAAGAGGAATTGTGGGTTGAACAGATTTTTATTTCAAGAGGAAGAATGTGGCAAAGGGTTGCAAGATCATAACTGGGCTGGAGACGGTGAACAGGGCTGATCACTCCTTCTCCTTCTTGAGACAGGGATCAGCCAGAGCCTAAAGATGGTTTAAAAGGTGGTGTAAAAGGGGGAAGGGAGACACTTCACCTAAAAAGTGATTAAACTGTGGAACTCGTTGCTTCGGGATAACAGAGTGGGGAAAAATTAAACAGAGGGGAAGGACAGCAGGTGTTGGAGGTTATTAAACATTGCAAGAGCCCTGCTGGCTCAGCTGAGCCTTTAATTGGTGGGACAGGGAAGGATTCCATATATTTTTGTTGATTTGGCTCTGTAAGAATTCAGGTCTGTGCTCCAGGTTGGATCAGCTTCCAGTCCAGTTGAGGTTCCTTTGTCCCAGCAGATGGAGGAGGTGGCAGCATCCCTGAGGAGATGAGGAACAGGATGCCTTGCTGAGCTGTCCCTGCACATCTCCGGATCTGCCTGTTAATCCATGAAGTGCTGGGCTCAAAGTGGGGAGATCAGATTTTTTGGGGGAGAAAACCAGTATTTTACTCCTTGGGCTTTACCTCTCTTGCCTGGCTTTGCTCAGTCATTATCAAAACCCTACAAACCCCCACAGAGGGTTTCTCAAAACTGCCTTTTCTCCCCAGATCGCCCTGCCTGCATTCCTGCATTTCCCCTGCACAGGGAGCAGAATAAAAAGCTGACTTGAGACCTCATTTAATGCCTGAATTAGTTCAATTTTCTCTGCCCGAGGCTCCTCATTTTTTTCCACTGTCTTGCTGTTGGCCTGCTGGGAATCTCTCATTGTCCACAAAAGTTTCTCTCGTGCTCCTAAATTGATGATTTTTTCCCTGAGCTCAAATTTTTGCCTAAATATGGACTCTTTCAGGGCTAATTTCTCTTCATAGTTTGCTTAGGCACACGTGTGTGTGCGCTAAAATCAGTTTCAAAATGGCTCAGATTTATTTTTAAGCCGGGGTGGGTTTTTTTTTGCAGATGCCAAAAGCATTGATTCCTGTCTGTTTAAAAAAAAAATAAAACCCACGGAGTATTTTCAGCATGATTTAGTGGCTCATCTACAAGGATCTTGACTGGCTTAGCTAAATTGTTGGTGCTCACTCGTGTGTGGAAAAGGCCCTGGTGTCTTTGGATGCACATTATTTTATTTAACCCAAACACAATTTAATCTTGGGGAGTTAAAAAGCTAGAGTTGAGGCTGATGTCTCAAAGCTTGAGTCAATCACTTCTGGGAAAAGCAACCTACCTCATTATTTTTTGGAGCAAAATGTTTTAGTGGAGCTGTCGTCTTTAAATAATTTTGGATGCAAACTTCTGACATTGTTTGTGGGAAGAAAGCTTTCCTTTTAAATTTTTTTCCTTCATATTTTTCATTTTAAACTGTAGAAGCATTTGTCAGGTAAGCCTTGAGTGCAACAAAACATTCAATTCCAAGTCAAGGCAAACACTGGTTTTTTTTTGAGAAATAAAACCATTTTGTTCGATTTTTTGCTTAGAAGAAGTTTGGGGTTTGGATCATCCAGAATCCTGTTTTTTCTTTTACTTTTTAAATTCTGGAAGAACCCTCAAACCAGAAAAACCAGCTATTTGTATAATTTCACTTAAAATGTGAAACACTGCTTCATAGCTCTGTTGCAGAATAGGAGTGACAAAAATGCCATCAGAATAAGGACGTTTAGAGGAATTAAACAACATTATGATTTTTAAGACAGTTAAAAAAACCCCAGCACAGAAAATAAGTGAAATAATGACCTTAGGCACAGCAATAAATACACTGCAGCAGCACAACCAGATCCTGTTGTGTGCTGGATGTGAAATGAGCTGTCTTGGGGCTCTCCACGCTGCCAAGACAGCCTGAATTAGCAGCTGGTCAGTTTTCGTGCAGACAGCTCTGTCAGAAGGGCAGGGAAGGAGCTGAGGGAGGAAAGTGGAGCCTGCAGGATCTTCGTGCCCCCCTGGCAGGACAGAAGCTGTGACAGCTGCTGCTGAGATGTTGTGGCAGAGGAGATGCTGGCCTGGAGTGTTTTTTTGGTAGAAAAGGAGGTTGGTTTTGTGAAGCAGGTCCTGAGATGGGCAGTCAGAGTGTGCCCTTCAGACATGGTGTGTGGGACTCCAGTTCAGTCCTTTAGGATCATTCCTGATTAGGTTCTCCTTCAAATCTCTGCTCTGTCTTAAAGCATCTCCCTCTGGAGACAGCAGACAGCCTCCCCTGCTCCTCTGTGCAATTCTGAGTCCATCTGTGAGGAAAGGAGCTCGGGGAACATCTGGGCACATTGCAGTGTCCAACCCCACAGTCCCTCAGGACATTCCCAGTGGGCTCGAGCCACTTCCCCTGCTGTCACCCACCCATCCAAACTGGAAATCTCACTGGGCATCCTGAGGAAAAGCAGCTCTAAAATGAGACAGGGGAGAAATGGCTGCTGAGAAGAGGCCAAATGAGAACACAAAACACATCCCAGGAGAAATACTGATTGCTAAGCCAAGCCCTGCCAGCAGTCAGCCAGGACATCCAGCACCCAGCTCGGATATGGATGAAGGCCTCAGAGTTCCTGATGGTGTCAGAGGTGGGACTGCACCACTCATGCCAGATAAAGCAAATCTGGAGTAAAAAGAGCACTACAAACAACTTTCCCTGAGCTTCTGATCAGTCTGGCTTTGACAAAAAACCCAGAGATGTTCAACTAGGACTGGAGCAGGCATCAACTACCTTGGAATTGTCCAAGGCCTGGCTGGACAGGGCTTGGGGCAACTTGGGATAGTGAAAAGAGTCCCTGCCCATGGTTTTAAAGATGATTTTTAAGGTTCTTTCCAACACAAACCACACTGGGATTTTATGATATTATGATCAAACAGGCAAAGGTTTGTGTGGCTGCAAATTTGACACTACAAGGCTGATAATGAGGAAAGACAACTGCAGGAAAGGAAAGCAACTCCCACCACCACAAAAAAAGTGAAGAGACACTTTGGAGTCAGAGGGACCAAAGATTCTACACCAAAATAAGGAAACCAAACCTTTTTTTTCTTTTTTCTTTTTTTTTTTTAAGAAAAAGATAACATCATTCAGTGTATTTTTTCAAGCTTGCTGGACATCATACCGAAATACCATAAAGCTGTCAGGGAAATTATATGGTTTTTTTTCTGTTGTCAACCAAAGCGTGCTTTTATGGAGTCAATTAGCCACAAATGATGAACACACGTCACTTGTCTGGGAATGAATTACAGTACAACCCAATAAACACATCTGGCTTTGCTCTCTGATCATTGCCCTGATGAGCAGGAGGTGTCAAACTTCCCTATCTAACCATGAAGGAAACTCCGTGTTCGTTTGTGTTTCACCCTCCAAATTCATCTCCTCCAAGTGCTGCAGTGCTACAGTGTGGGGGGAACGGGGGCATTGGTATTTCTGCTCTGACGTGCAAACCTGGACGTGAGCTCAGGGTGTGAAATGCAATTACCTCGGGAAAAGGGCTCGGATAAGCTGGGATGGCACAGAGGGCTTGGGTGTACAACGGAGCTGCTATCAGATTCCACAGAGAAGTGCAGCCAGTGTTGTCTTTACACAGGATTTTGTGTGCCCTCCACAGACCTTAGAGCCCTTTTTGAAGGTGGAGAGCCACAGTCTTATCAAGTTTTTAGAGTTTTTTTTCGTTTGGTTGGTTGGCTGGGAGGATTTCTTTTCTTTTCCTTTTTTTGTTTTTAAACTTTTATAACAGATGGGTAAACTGAGGCACAGAAAGGTGGTGTGACTGGCCCACAGTCATTGGTAGACCTTGAACCCCCAGGTCTTGCTCCCACCTGGGACAGAGTGAGAAGGAAGGGCTGTTCCCAAAGTTCCCTCCACTTGTTCCCAGGGTGAGGGGAAGGACCATCACCCTCAGTGGCAATGTCTGGTGGGGCTGGACAGCTCCTGCAAGCCCCTGGGAGGCCAGGGAAGCGAGGACATGGAGAGGCAGGAGGTCAGGCACTACAGGATGCACTCGTGCCTCTCCGTGGCTTTCAGGGCCTCGTGCATGCTGGCGGCCGAGAGCCTCCTGTTGATGTTCCTGTACCTGCAGCGCAGCAGGTTCCAGAAAGTAGTCCTCAAATCCCTGTTGAAGAAGGCGTAGATGAGGGGGTTGATGAGGGAGTTGGTGTAACCCAGCCAGAGCAGAGTCCTCTCCAGCCTCAGGGGCATGCAGCTGCAGCGGATGCCGCAGATGAACGGCCGCGCCGTGGACATCAGGAAGAAGGGCAGCCAGCAGAACGTGAAGGCCCCCACGATGATGCCGAGGGTCCTGGCGGCTTTCTGCTCCCTCTTGAAGATGGAAATGTTCTTGCGGTCCTGGCGGAGCAGCTTGGAGAGCGTGGCGCACTCCTCGGCGGCCTTGGTGCGGCGGGAGCTGTGGTGGGCGCGGGCGGAGGCCTCGAGGCAGTAGACGCCCTCGTCCTCGTAGTGCTTGGGGAAGTTCATGAAGCGGTGCTTCTCAGCGCTCACCTTGGCCGCCTGGTAGATGCGGCTGTACATCACCAGCATGACGGCCATGGGGATGTAGAAGGCCACCCCCGTGGAGTAGACGGTGTAGCCAAAGTCCTGGCTGATGAGGCACACCCGCTCCACCGTCACGTTCTGGGCCCAGCCGAAGAGCGGAGGGAGGGTGATGGAGGCCGACAGGAGCCACACGATGAAGACCATCTTGGCCATCAGCTTCCCGTTCTGCCTCACGGGGTAGGTCAGAGGCCGCGTGATGCCCAGGTACCTGCGGGGAGGAGAAGGAGTTGTCAGGGGTTAGGGGTGGGTGCTCTGAGGTGGTTTTCATTCCCTCTGAGGTGGTTTTCACTCCCTCTGAAGTGGTTTTCACCACCCCGGGTCTTGCCCCCACCTGGGACAGAGTGAGAAGGAAAGGCTGTTCCCAAAGTTCCCTCCACTTGTTCCCAGGGTGAGGGAAAGGACCATCACCCTCAGTGGTAATGTCTGGTGGGGCTGGACAGTTTCTACCAGCCCCTGGGAGGAACTGTCAAGCTGTGAGGTAATTTTGGCCCTCAAAGGGGGCAAGAAATGAATTCACCAAATGAAAATCTCCACAGGCATGGGATCTCTTGACTAAACACCACAATTTATTCCTCACTTTCTTGCGATCATCCCACATGTGGAATCACAGAATGGTTTGGGTTGGAAAGACCTTAAAGACCACCCCATTCCAACCCCATGCCATGAGCAGAGACACCTTCCACTATCCCAGGTTGCTCCAAGCCCTGTCTAATCTGGCCTTGGACACTTCCAGGGATGGGGTATCCGTAACATGAGGTGTCATTGAACTGCTGAGTGCAGTCTGAACTGTGCATGATCTCCTGGGGAATAAAAATACTTTAAAAAGCCTGTTTTTCAGGAATAAAAACTGACTTAAGAATTTTTATTTTTCCACCAGAACTACTCTGCCCAGAGAACATGCGACAGCTTCCAGCCATGGCATGTAACTCGCTCCAAAGTGTTGCCCTTCCCAAGGAGACACCCAGGAGTGGGATGGGTGATGCTCAGAGTGATATGCCACAGGACTGATTCCAGATGAAAGGAATAACTCCTAGCAGTCCTTAATGGGAAGTGGGAAGTGGGAAGCACTGCAGCCTTCTCTTATTTGTTGGTGAAGAAATACAACCTGCAGCTAGGATGGCCCTGGGAGACCAAGAAATAATCTTGTCTTTGGGGAAGATTTAAAGATGTGTCTGGATAAGCCCTGCAAGCGAAGTTGGAGAGTGGATGATGTTGTCTGGGGACAGTTTTGGGGCCCCTCACAACAAGAAAGCCATTGAGGGGATGAGGAGTGTAATAGAGCTGGGGAAGGGTCTGGAGCAGCAGGAATGGCTGAGGGAGCTGGGAAGGGGCTCAGCCTGGAGCAAAGGAGGATCAGGGAGGACCCTGTGGCTCTGCACACCTCCCTGACAGTTGTTGAACTCTGGAAACTCAAATAGGAATGACCCAAGCAGCTGGAGCCATCTGCTTGCTTGCACAGCCAGGAGTTGCCAAAGTGATGGAGTCCAGCTCGCCCTCAAGGGGAAAATGAGTGGAGTTTGGAGTAAGAGATCCCAAAACCACCTGGTGACCCACAGATCCCCCAGTCCTGACGCCTGGGGTTAGGAGTTACCTTGTTATTTTGCCTGAAAGGAGCTGGAGGCTGCACCCACCATCAGCTCCTGGTGGTGCCTGGGGTGTAAACGTGAACTATCCTGACTTTTATTGGAGACATTTGTGTGATAAAGAAATTGTGTCAGCTGTGAGTAAATTAGAATTGTAAAGCAATAAATCAAGGGGGGAGTTGGCTGCTGTCAGCCAACATTCCCCCTGGAAAACATCTGCCTGCTACTCAGCTCCAATCAATCCTGCAAAAACCTCAAGTCACTCATATGGATTTCTGTTCTGTTACAGCCTTTTTGATTCCAATCTCCTGCTGCCAGGAATTTTTAGGCAGGAACACATCACCTCTTAGCTTGTTCTTGGATGAAAGGTGTCACTCCAGAGGGGCAGTGAGAGCAGCAGCTCTATGAGTACTTTTTGCTAAAAGCTGAACAAAAAATTGAAAAATATCTTTGGAGAATTTTACCTCTGCTGTGTAATTTTTTCTCTGACAGTCAGTCTTAGTGTGTTAGGAGATTTTCTCTTCCCTGAATATTTCACTTTTCCAGATCATCCCTCAAGATTAGAAGACGGAAATAAAATATATTAAAAAAATCTAATTTCTCCTCCCCTCCTGACTGCTAAATCAATTGAGAGACTAAATTCTTCTCCCCTGCCTCCCTGATAAAATTATTTTGAATTCATTCACTGAGTTGTTCTGTCCTTATTTTCCTCTGTATTCTTTTTTTGGACACTTCCAGGGATGTGAAGTGAGCTGGCCTTGGTGACAAGAATCAACCGAAATTCTTTATGTTTGGAGAATTCCAGGATGGTTTGGGTTGAATGGAACCTTCAAGATTATCCATTTCCAATGCCCTGCCATGTGCAGGGACACCTTCCACTATCCCAGGTGGCTCCAACCCCATCCCACCCGGCCTTGGACATTGCAGGGATGGAGCATCCACAGCTTCCCTGGGCGCCCCAATCCCTCCCGATGGAGCCAAGCTGGGAGAAAACCCCGCTCTGCTCCTGCAATTCCCAAATTAACACCCCAAAAATCACCCCTCTGGATATCCAAGCCAAGAACTTCACCAAAAAATCCATGCTGTGTTGTGTGTCACCCTCTCTTACGCTATTACCAGGTTTCTGTGGAAGCTGATCTGCCTGGGATTTGCTGAAACTTCAAGGAATTTACGAGGGAAGCGCTCACTGACGCGGTTTATCGAGAAGGCAAAGCTGACACATTTCATCTGCTGCTGCTGGGGGAAACGGGGCCGTTTTCAGGTCTTTGTAATAATTCTGAAACGAGCAGGGAGCCCTCAAAATAGGGCAGCGTTTACAGGAGGTGAGGTGGCGCTGGCAGACAGTGGAATTTGAGTGGAATTCTCTCCCTTTGAAATTTTTTCAGCTTTTCTCTGTGTGTGTGTTGTGCTGTTAATCAAGTTTAGGGTAGCCAGGTAGCAAAAGGCAATTCCTAGGATTTGCAGGCGCTCAGTGTGGATTTGCAGGGCAGCCATTCATGCCAGCTGCAATAAATTCCTGCCACATCCCTGATCCTGCAGATCCTTTGGCTGTGGGGTGGGAGATCTGCCCCAGGCTGGGCTGCACCAGCAAACCCCACAGATGAACCAGTTCAGAGTGTTTGTTCTACATTCAGTGGGGATAATGGAATGGGTTGGGTCGGGTTGGGTTGGGAGGGACCTTAAATCCCATCCAGTTCCACTCCAGGGGCAGGGACACCTTCCACTGTCCCAGGCTGCTCCAAGCCCTGTCCAACTTGGCCTTGGACACTTCCAGGGATCCAGGGGCAGCCACAGCTGCTCTGGGCATCCTGTACCAAGGTCTCATCACCCTCACAGGGAACAATTCTTTCCCAATACCCCATCTATCCCTGCCCTTGTCATGCCTTTACATTTTCCCTCTGTGCCTTCCCTGTAGGCCCCCTTCAATTTTTGGATCATTATGCCAGGGATTAAATAATAAAAACAACCCAAACCTCCCTGAGGTGCCCCTTTCTCCATCCTGCAGCTGGTGAACTGGGAAAAGATGAATCTGCACTCACACAGGGGGACAAATGAGCCCAGAATTAGGGCTCAGAATTAGGGTTTCCTCAACCCCATTGTTTCACAATTCCTCTGCAGCCAAAATGAGCTCATTCCCTGATTTCCAAGTTGATGCCATTCCTGCCCCATCCTGCTGAAGGAGAAGAGCAAATAAAAGGCAGCTGGAGGCTGCTGAAGTGCCCTAAGTCAGAGCTGGTGCAGCATCCCAGGGATCCATCCCAGATACAGAGCAGGGATCTACCCAGCCTGGGCAACATTTGGATGAAGGACATGGGAAAGGCAATCCAGCAAAATGCTCTGCAGTTTTTATCCCGCTGACTTTGGGGTGACATCCTTTTACTGAGGGTGACCCCAATTTGGAGCATAAAATCTGATTTTGGGTGGAAAATACTTGCCAGGGAAAGGGGAGAGCCCCAGCAGAGCCGCCTGGGAAATGGATGGAGAGTTTTTTTCTCCACCAGGGATGCCAGAAGTGATGTGTGGGCTTTGGGGAGCTCCTTTTGTCAGCTTCTTGGCATTTTTATGGAGAGTTTTATCAAAGCTGAGCAGCCAAAAGAGGGGATTTTTTTTTTTGTTGGTGGTTTGTTTTTGGTTTGTGACATTAAAAAATCTGCAACATTGGCAGGCTTTTACATAAGGAAAATATAAGAGGGAGATGGATGTTTCCAGCATTTTTCTTTTCTGATTTCAAAGGAAATCAATCAAATCTCGCTTCAGACAAGATTAGTTCTACCAGCTTCAATCGAGAGGCTTTTAGGAAGCCCTCAGCATTAATAATCAATAACAGCAGCCTACATTTTAATAGTCCTCATCATCCTGGGCAAAGCAAGTAGCTTTTCCATCTAAGCTAAGCAAAATATTGAGGACACTTCAGCCATCAATAAAAGCAGGGTCTCCTCCTTGGCAGGGACAGGCCTGACAGTGCTGACCAAGTTGGATTCAGGACAGAACAGAGGAAATATTTCTATTTCTGAGAAATACCAAAGGTTTTCATCTTCTTCCTCACAGGGCAGGAGGAAGAGCTGGTCCCCATCTCTGGGGGAGGTTTGGGTTGTGCCTCACTGAGATAACAATTTAATCTCTTTTAGAGCCGGTTTTTCAGGCATTCTGCAAGCTCAGCTCTCGTTGTGCTTTTGGGTTTTGGTTGCATCAGCACAGAAACTGAGAATTGTGATTTTGGAGATGTTTCCATCAAGAGTCAAATGAAAAATCCTGCCTGTCCCAGGCTCAGGGGGGAAGTGGAGCTCCAGGCATGATCCTGCATCCTCAGTCCACCTCCACCCAGCCTGAGGATGCTGGGCGGGTGTGGAGCAGTGATGCTGCACAGGATGCTGGAGACACTGCCCTGGGATGGTTCACACAACTCCCAGCCCATTCCAGGGGATCCTTGAGTCCCCTCCTCCTCTCATATGCACCAGAGGACATCCCAGTAATTCCCATTCCCTCCTCAAGCCCCAGCACAGACTGACCCTACAAGCCCCCTCCACCTGCACTTGTCCTTCCTCCCACCCAGATCTGGGTGGGCACAGCTGGGGCGATGGTCCAGTCCCTTCCCTCTGCTCAATCCTTGCTGGTTTTCTCCTTTCCCAGCTGGAAATATTCCAGGCAGTTGCCCTGTAACCACTCAACTTCCCCATCAGGCCTGTGGTGTGGTGAGGATGAAATTCTGGGAGAAAACTGATCATGGTGCAGTTCCTGTGCCAACACATGAGGGACAAGCCCAGGCCAAAAAATTCAGGCTCTTTGACAAACTCTTGGGACACAGCATTTCCCTCCCTCCTTCCCAGGAAGGACAAAGTGACACCAAATTCAGGATGGTGTCCTTGGATAGGGATCTGCTCCCTGGAGATGTGGTGGAGGAGTGGAATCCACGGCAAGGATTTTTTGGGGAAAGATCTCTCCTATTTGTGTGTGTGTTTGGAAAAGTCTTGCTCCAAAGAATGGGATTGGTTGGTTGGGAAAGGAGGGGAAGGAAAGAGGAAAAATAGGGAAGGGAAGAAGGAGGAAAGAAAAAGGAAAGGGAAAAGGATTGCATGTATCAGGGTTTTGGGGACTTGGGATCAGGTGGGGAGAGTTGTTGACATGCTTGGCCAAGGAGAAGTGGAAGGGGAAAGGGAAAATGAGAAAAGGAAAAAAGGGAAAAAGGAAAAAGGGGAAAGGGAAGGGAAGGCAAGGCAAAAGGAAAAGAAAGGAGAAAAGAAAGGAGAAGGAGAAGAGAAGGAGAAGGAGAAGGAGAAGGAGAAGGAGAAGGAGAAGGAGAAGGAGAAGGAGAAGGAGAAGGAGAAGGAGAAGGAGAAGGAAAAGGAAAAGGAAAAGGAAAAGGAAAAGGAAAAGGAAAAGGAAAAGGAACATTTCAAGCAAAGCCAGTCTGGTTAGTGTGTAGCCACTTCCCTGCTCCTCACCCACCGGGAGGAAGCACTGACACATTTAATTCCTGTTTAATTCCTGCATTCCATCCCTTCCCTCTCACAGAGTCAGACTCCTGCCAGCTCTGAGCACACCTGCTATTTTTTTTCCCAGCCAGAAATTTATTAAAATAAAGCAAATTCAGCAGAAGAGCTGAACCTCCCTGTGGCCTGGCAGGGTTTTTTCTGTCACCAGCAGCTCTGAGCTGCCCAGGGCTGTGGATCTGCATCTCCCAGGGGAGCAGTGCCTGGTGGGGATGAAGGCTTTGGAGCAGGACTCTCTGCTGGCTTTCCTGGGGGGGATGTCAAGCAGCAGCCGGATCCTCTCTGTCCTTTCTGCTTTGTCACCCGCTGTCACACCTGCAGAGGTGACCGGGGAGGTGGCACAGCTGTGAGGGCACATCTCAGACGTGGGATGTGTTCCTTCCCTGCAGCTCCCAGAGCAGCCCAGCCCAGCCCAGCCCAGAGCGACCCCCGGGCAGGCAGCGCACGTCAGCCCCGGCCCCCGGCTCGGCAGCGCCATGGCCCCGCTGACGCAGCTGCTAAAATTAGAGCCACCAAGGTGCTGACTTGGCCAAGCCTGGCCACTCTGCCAGGCAGGCTCTGCCTTTCCCTCCCAGCTCCAGGTGTGGGAGGTGAAGCCAGCAAATCCTCACAAATGCGCTCACTGAGCTAAACCGGGGGGTTTGGGATCTTGGGATGGGGTGTGGGGAGCTGCTGATATCCTTAGCTAAGGCGTGAGTCCAGGGAGCAGCACAGAATCCCACAGGATTGGCTGCCCTGGAGCCTGGATTTCCAAAGTGCATCTGGGGTTGTTTTTTTGATTTCTTGAATGGTTTCATGGCCCAGGCACCTTCCATGGAGAAGGTCAGGTGCTGCTCCTCAGGAACAATGAGAAGCAGCTGCCAAAAGGGGGAAGACTGAGGAAGTAACTTAGGGAAGCAACTTGAGAAAACACCCTGAGAAACCCAGCTCTTCCAAAGGGAGCACTGAACTCCCACAGGAAACCCTCACCACCTGCAAAAAACACCTCCAGGAGCACTGACCCAACCAGGAACGCCATCCCAGCAGCTCCCAACACCCCAAATACCAGATCCCACCTGAGCCCAGGGCACCAACCCGCCCCTGCCTCACCTGTCCACGCTGATGATGCACAAGGTCATGATGGAGGCGGTGCAGCACATCACGTCCATGGCGATGAAGACGTTGCAGAACACCTTCCCAAAGAGCCACTCTCCCCCCACCAGGTCCGTGATGGTGACAAAGGGCATGACAGCAAAGGCCACCGACAGGTCGGCGGCGGCCAGGGACACCACCAGGTAGTTGGAGGGCTGCCGGAGCTTCTTGACGATGCACACGGAGATGATGACCAGCCCGTTGCCGGCGATGGTGGTGAGGATGATGATGGAGAGCACGGCCCCGATGACGACCTTCTCGGTGTCCCCATAGAGCAGGATCTCCTCGCCGCAGTCGGTGCCGTTGTTGGTGAGGTTGGAGGGCGGCAGCTCGGGCTCGGCTGGGGCGGGAGGTTCCTCAGTCATGAATGGATTCGGGAGCGCTTCCCGAGCCGGCCGCTGCTGCTCTGCGCTCTCCACCAGCAGAAGGTGCTGCTCCAGAAACCTCCTGGGGCTGGCCCTCAGCAGCATGCTCCGAGCTCGCCACCAGCGCTCCCCCAGCAGTGACACCTCCAGTGACAAACCAGAACATCTCGTCACAAAACGGGGCGAAGAAAATCCAATATCCCCTCATCCTCTCGCCCACCGTCACCACCCCCCTCCACCCCTCCGAGCTCTTGCTGCGGCTGCATCTCACGTGCCCGGCAGGAAGCCGCTTCCCAAGTCTCCTTAAGGACACGCATTTTCCCGGGGGATGCTTGGAGGCAGCCGCTCTCCGCTTGGGAAGCAGCACCAAGGGCTCCCTGCAACATCTCCCCGCTCATCCATGTGCTGTTCCAGCAGAGAGAACGGCTCGTGGATCCCTGTGTGCTCCCTGCCGAGCTGTGCCTGCTGCTGTGGCACTTCTCCTCTGCATCCATACATTTAATCCCTTGCAGAGCCTCCTCTGTGCATGCGACACCACGAGCCACAGCACCAGCGTGGGCACAGCCCCCGCCTGCTGCATCCCCTGCCCGTGGCACACGCAAACTTCAAAGCCGGGACCGCAAATCCGCAAATCCCCGCTCCTGGCACGCAGTGGCCACGCTCGGGCTGTCGGTAGCCACGGGAGAGGATCGGTGGCATGCAGCACACCCAGGGTACCACGCACAGCCCAGGCATCCCAGCTCGCTCCCGGAGCCTGAGCATCAGCACCACCTCCGAGAGCCGCGCTCCCACCCCCGGCATCCCACCCCTGCCATCCACAAGGAAACTTCAGGGCAAGGATCACCCCTGGATGCTCCGAGCATCGTGCATAAACCCGCATCCTCTTTTTTTTAATTGTTATTGTTGTGTTGTTTCTAACCCCATTTCCCCCTTGAAGTTTTGTTTCAATCCCAGCCGGATTGCGGCCCCTTCCTCCCCTTTTGCAGCGTCCCCCGGGGGGTTCCCGGAGTTACCTGTGCCGAGGGGGTGAGACATCCTCCAGGCGAGCCCCTGCGAGCTCCGGGCGGGCGAGGAAGCAAAGAGCCACCCCCGGAGCATCCTTCTCCCCTCCCCGCCTCGCCGGTCCCTCCTACCGCCCTCCCCTCGCCTCTGCCGGGCAGGGACCCAGATGGTCCCCGGCTCCCTCCTCGGAGCCCCAGGGAGGAGCAAAGAGCGGGCGGGGGGGTCCGGGCTGGGTCCCGCAGCGATGGGAGGGAGCGGGTGAGGATCTGGAGGGAAAGGCTGGAAGTTGAGGAGATGCCTTGGAGCGCTGAGAGGCAGGAGAAGCAGCGTGGAAGGCAGCAAGGAGGGCAGGCATGGGGAAAGGCGCCTTTCCTCGTGATTTTTTTAAAGGATTATTTTACAGGATACATTTTTTACAGTATTTTTACGTGATTTTTCCTTCGCTCCGGGCATTTTTTCAGCCCTCCTGGGTTGTCCTCCGCGTTCCTTCAGCTCCACTCTGAAAGGAGCTGCAAACAGCCAAGGAGAAGCAGATCCCTGAAGATGAGCCTTTCCTAATCCTAGGAAAACTGATTTTTTAAAAAACCCAAAAAACGGGGCAGAACATGGAGAGATCCACATGCACTCCCCTCCATAGGGACTTTGGAGCTGGGATCACACTGGTATTTCCACCCAGGGCATCAATGTCGGTCACACTTTGCTCCTCCTGGGGTGGAAGATGCGGGGCAGAGCCATCTCCTGCATTGGCTGTTCCCAAGGATGATTCCCTCGGAGGGATGGACAGTGCGGGGCCCACCCTGCATCCCTCGGGATGGGTTGGGAGGGGAGGGAATGTGGCTGTGGAGCTGTTGGCAAATTCGGGAAGCGATTCCCGAGCTTCTGCCCCAGCTGGAGCGAGGTGGGAATCTCATCCCAGGACACCCTGGAGGGCTGAGTCTGGGAAAAACACCTTGAAATCTCAGTGATGCCAAGCACTGCAGGGATTTTTGGGGCAGATGTTCCCGGTGGGAAAAAAAAAAAAAAAAAAAAAAAAAGGATAAAAAAAAAGTGCATTTGCAAGGAAATCGCCGGTGAGCTAAAGCAGGGCTGTTAAAGCTGTGCTTAGCGCTGGGGTTCCTCCTTTGCTGCTCGAGCATCGAAGCATGTGTGGGAGGCTGGTGAAAATAGCTTCCTCACCAGGCCAGGACGTGCTGGAGGAGCTCCGGGATTTTTATTTTTTTTTCCTTTTTCTTCCCATGCCAGGTGGGTTTTTTTCCCGGCCCCTCCAAAGCCGGGGTGGGATGGGGCTGATGCACAAACCCTGCAGGGGCTGGGGAGGAGAATTCTCTCAGATTTACAAAATACACCCAAGGAATTTCTGAGGAGGAAAAGGGGGATGTGCAGAACTCCCTGCTGCAGGAATCCTGCCGGATTCTGCAGTCTCCAAACCCAGACAAATTCAGCCAAGGAGAAAAACACCCCCTAAGGACCAGCCCAGGCAGTCTGGGGCCAGATGCCTGGAGGATTTCAGGGAAACAATCTGTGCCCGAGCCACAGATCTGCTCCCAGCCCTGGGAGAGGGGTTAGAGGGAGGATATGGGGTGGGGAACAGCCCAGAGGATTTTTTTTCCTGCCTGGAGAGATTTTTCCACCTTCCCTGGAGGGTTTTTCAGCCTGGAGAGATTTTTCCAGCTTTCCTGAAAGGGTTTTCCAGCCTGGAAAGGGTTTTCCAGCTTCCTTGGATGGGTTTTCAGCCTGGAGAGATTTTTCCAGCTTCCCTGGAGGGTTTTTCAGCCTGGAGAGATTTTTTCAGCTTTCCTGAAAGGGTTTTCCAGCCTGGAGAGATTTTTCCAGCTTCCCTGGAGGGGTTTCTCATCCTGGAGGGTTTTTCCAGCTTCCCTGGAGGGGTTTCTCATCCTGGAAGGGTTTTTCCAGCTTCCCTGGAGGGGTTTCATCCTGGAGGGTTTTTTTCATCTTCCCTGGAGGGGTTTCTCATACTGGAAGGGTTTTTACAGCTTCCCTGGAGGTTGCTTATGGGAGAACACCACTATGCACTAAGGAGAGACAGGGAAGGATTTTTTCCTTGAGGCATCCTTGGGAAGCAGCTGGTTCATGCTCAGAGGTCGAGTTCATGTCCTGGCAGACAGGAAGGAAGGAAGGAAGGAAGGAGAAAAGGAGATTTTAGACATGAGGAGTTTCCTGGGCTTTCTTTGCTCTGCCCTTCCAGGACTTTTGGCAGAGCCTCAAAATCCTGCAAGAGCTGCAGGGAGCAGAATTGACCCCACTCTGTCTCATCCCAGCCCCATTTCTGTAGGATGAAACCTACAGCTTTTCCCTTTCTGACCGCCTGCAGCTCTGGGGACTCCAAAGGGGAGTTTCCCCCCATTTTTCCAGGAAAATGAGCTGCTCTCATAACTTGGGGAGCAAAAACAGGGACAGAAACTCACTTCCAGCTCTTGGGACACTCACCAAGCAGCCAGAGGGCACATTCCTTGCTTGGGTTGCTTTTGAGGAGGACAGAAGGGAAAATGCTAATTTTCATGTGAAGAAATAATTAAAATAATTATCATTCTTCTAGCTAAAACCCTCAGTGCAGCATTTCTCCAGCCCCAGGCCACGGTGACCTTGCTGAGACACTGCCTCTGGGGCGAGCTGGGAAGCACTAATTGCATTTAATGGTAATTAAGGAGAGGAAATGGCCAGCGTGCCTCAGCTCAGCACTCACTGGAGCTTTCTGCCTTTGGTTTGGAGGAGCAGGGATGATGCTGGAGCAAGGTGGGATCAACCCCAAGGAAGATTTTCCATGTAAAAAAAAAAATAAATCAAGAAGCAGAAATCACAAAATAAAAAAGTTTCCTGCACCTGCAGAAGAAGAGGGGCAGCCAAAATCCTCCCAGCACTTCAGTGCCCATATCTATTATTCCATTTTCATGTACAAATGACTGTTTTATTAACAATTAATTGTTAATATTGAGCCCTATTAAGTCTAATAGGCGCAGGTATTAATATGCAAATTTGGAGAAATCTCATTAATTTCCAGGTCCAGCATCTTCCCTGCAGCACAGATGTTGACATTTCTCCCTCCCAGATGGAAAAAATGAATCCCTTGGCACTCTCAGCTTTTAAGGAGCATCTCCAAGGGTGGATTTTACCTGCAGGGAAATTCGGGATGAGCAGTCCTGGGGTACCCAAAGCTTCTCTGTGGGTGCTGTGATCAGGAATAACAAAATCTGAGGTGTTTTAGTGACCCAAATCCCACCCCCTTTTCTCCATGGGAATCTCCTGCTTTCCCCCTGAGGCTCTCTCAAAACCAGCCCTGATGAGCGTCAAGGAACATCTCCCCAGAATCACCCAGCAAACAAAAATAAAGTGAATAAAGTGGTGGGAACGTGGTACCCAAGAGAGGGTTGGATCTCCCAGAAATGAATCCCTTGCCCTGGGGTCCAATCCCATTAAATTTACCTGTAATTTAAAAACTTACCTGTAATTTTAAAATTTACCCATTAAATTTACCTGTAATTTAAAACTCAGAGAGAGGATTTTGGGGTGTTTTTTTCTTGTTGGTCCTGCCTAAAATAGAAAAAAAAATAATAAAATGAAACTTTTTTGTTGTTCTTAAAGGCTCCCAGTAAATTTTGCTGTTTGAGCAGGTGGGGAGCAATTGGAAATGTCACAGGAAAACAAGCCAAAGGATTGTTAATAATTCATTGCCAATAATTCATCTCCAAAGGTGGATTTGCTGAAGAGAAGCATTTTAATCCTGTTCCGTGCAGCCACACTCCCTCTGCTGGAGCCTGCACAGACAACAGGCGGCTTTTGGTGCAGATTTACAAATTTTGGTTATCTGGGAGGGCTCTCAGGGTTTTCTCCTTTCTCCATGTGCCCACAGGCTCCTCCCGATGTCCCGCACAGCTGAGACTGCCCTGGGGACGTGGGGATGAGATTTGGGATGAGGAGGTGGGAGAGAAGCCTCTGATAACAAACTTCTGTCCACAGCTCCTCCTGTCCACCCTGAAGCTGCCCTTGGTGGGTGCCAAAAGGATTTCCAGAGGCACTGGTGAAATTAGGGAAAAAAAACCCCAAAAAACCTGAAATAGGAAAGAGTGAAAAAAAAGGGATTTAGGGGAAGTCTCCAGCACAAAGCCCTCAGCCATGGCTCGAGGCTGTGCTCACCCATTTGCCAGGTTTTTATTGATGATTTTATTTGTTCTCCTTAGTGCTGGTGATTTATTCAAAGTGATGGAAGTGCAGCTTTTCCTCCTGCTGCTGTCCCAAAGGTTTGGAAGAGCCAGGTTTTAGGTTTGTGCAGTAAGAGAACAGATTTATTTTGGTCACCAATTGTTGTGGTGTTGTTGTGAGGATCCCCAGGAACGAGGTGAGAGATAAGAATTGACTCCAAGTTCTCAGGAGGCTGATATATGATATGATATGATATGATATGATATGATATGATATATTATATGAATTACATTATATTATATTCAGTATATTATAATATATTACATCATATAATATATATAATATAACATATAGCATATATTATACATGATATATAATATTAACAAATCAATAAATATCAATTGATATTATTCATATTAATATAATATAATATAATATAATATAATATAATATAATATAATATAATATAATATAATATAATATAATATAATATAATATAATATAACATAGCATAACATTACATTACATCATATTACATTAT